GCTCCCGCCCCGTCCACACCCTCCCGCCCCCATGCCCTCCCGCGACCTCATCCTCGTCCTCCGTCGGCCACCCACTCCCCAGCCCAAGCTCCTGCGCCTCGACCCGCCCCGCCCCATGCCGCGCATAGATCTGCGACCGGCTTTTACTTCTCGTATGCCCCGCCGCGTCCGCTCTCCTCCTCAGCTCCAGCGGCCGCGTGCTCCCCCTCCCGTTCCCGTTCACAGCCAGCGAAGCCGTGCTCCCGCTCGCAGAATGCCCCTTGCTCGACATCGCCCCATCATTGCCATTGACATCGAGCAGCGTATCCTGCAACACCCTAAACGCGACCTCCTCCGCCGCCCTCGCAAAGGCACTGCTCTCCACCTTCCCGCCCACGCCCCGCGCAACTTCGACCTGTCTCCGCAGACTCGCGACCCAATTATGCCGGAGCACCGCATCGTCCACGCCAAACATATACCGCCTCTTCTCCCCCGCACGCCCGCTAAACGCAACCTGGAACGTATTCCGCATAAACGCCCGCTCAACCACCACCCCCGTACTCGCCGGCACCCCGCCATACGCGCCCGCCCTCGGTCCCCCACGTATGAACGCAATACTCCGCGCTCCTAACGAGGATCCGGTAATACGGAACGACGCCTCGGGCGAGCGCGCGAACGTCAAGACCGGCGGGTCGAACGTGAGGCCCGAGCCGTACAGCGCGATCGTCAGCCCCGCGTCCGGCGCCGGCAGCCGCACAATGATGGGCTCAGACTGCACCTTAAACGTCAGCCGCGCCGGCACGGGCCTCTTAAACACCACATTCGCCTCGGGGCCCGTCCGCGGCGCGTGCCCGAGCGCCGCCTTGCGCACGCTCGCGTGCGCCTCGTCCAGCACCGCGTCCGGCACCGCCCGCCGCGCGTCGAACCGGCGGAACGCGTCGCGGAAGTCGCGCGCGGTGACGTTGTGCGGCGCGCCCGTGCGCCGGGCGGCGAAGGGGCCGCCGTGCAGCACGTCGTCGAGCTGCGCGAGCGCGCGCACGAGGCGCACGGCGAGGTCGCGGTCGAACGCCACGCCGTCCCGGTTCGCGTCGTACCACCGCCCCGCGAACGCGTCGAGGAGGTATTCGGCTGCGCCTTGCGAGGGGGGTACGTGCACGCTTTGGAGGAACGCGCGGAGCGCGATGTGGATGGGCAGGCCCTCGAGCGCGAGTTGTCCGATGTAGGCTTTGAGCACGGGCCGCGAGCCGCGCGCGACGAGGTACTCCCCCAGCCGCGCCCTGTCGAGCTCGAGCGTTCTGAACAGTAACCTCCCCAGCGCACCCGCGTTCGCCTCGATCCCGCCGCCCGTTTTCGACAATAACGCCCTCACAGCGGCTCCGGGGTCCTCCTTGAACGCCTTAACGAACACCCTCACCCGCGGATCTTTATCCCCGCTCAACACGCCCACCGGCACCGCGCGCTCCCCCGCGAACTTCAGCTCTCTGAGTCGCGCCGCGCTCTTGATCACGAACCGCCGGCTCGACGAGTCCGTCTGCGCGGCGTCGGGCTCGGGCGCGAGCGGCTTGGCGATGATCAGGAGGTCCGTGAAGAGGAACAGGAAGCGGTCTTTGACCGTGTCCGCGTTGGCTATCTGGAGTACGGGGGACGAGAGGAGCAGTTTGCGGGGCGGCTCGGGGAGGGAGGGGAGCGCGTCTTCGAGGCGCGCGAGGATGGCTGGGCCTTGGGGGGTGAAATGTGCGGGCTCAGAGTCAGCGTGGCGGTCGTGGTTCAACACCGTATGCGTATGCTCTCCATCCTCCTCCTCAGCTTGGTCTTCGCCCTCAGCGTCGCTGGAGAGTTCACTCTGACTCCGACTTACATCATCCAAACTGCTCATCGGGTCCGGCGTCGCGCTCAGCGCATCCGGCGGCGACCCCGGCGTATTATACCGGCTCTGCGCGCTGTGCGGGCTCGCGGTGTACGGCGTCCTTGCAACAGCTGGACTAGGCGGTTCGGGCGTCGGATTCGCGCTCGTCGACGGGTACACTTCCTCGCCGTACGCCGCCTCGAGCTCGCGCATGCTAAGCTTGCTCGGCTCCGGATGCGCCGTCGTAACAGGCGACACCCCATTCAACGGCCGCGCGCCGCCCGTCGGCGTCCGGTCCACGTCCTCCCACTCGCTCCCTCCACTCCCGCTGCCATTCCTCTCCCTCTCTCGCGCGGCGAACATCTCGACCAGCAACGGATGCTGCACCGTCCCCTTGCTCGGATCGTGCGCCTGCAGCACCGGCCCGCTGATCTGGCCCACGCGGCTCGCGCTCCGCTCGTGCGCGTTGCTGTTGCCGTTGCCGGTCTCGGACGAGGAGGAGGACGAGGCGAAGATCTTCTTCGCGCTGAGCCATTTCCGCACGCCGTCCCTTGTATGCGGCAGCTTCCCGTTCGCACTGGAGACCGTGCCGTTGGGCGACGTAGCGGACGAAGTGAGCGGTTGAGAAGTCGAAGGTCCACCGTGGCCCGCGCGCCACGTCCCGCTCGTCCCGCCGTCCGTGCTCGAGCCCGACGCAGAGGGGCTAATAGGCGACGCAGCAAACTTGGGCAGCAACCGCGTATCGCTCGCCTGATGGCTCAACTTCCGCTCCCGCTCCCTCGCCTCCCCAAGCTCGCGGCTCACATTCGGCGAGCTCTCGGACGTAGGGCTGAAGTACCCGCCCGACACGTCCGGACTGCTCACGTTGAACGGGCGCGCGCTGGAGGCGGATACGTCGGGCGAGGAGACGTTTAGGCGTTGCAGGCCGGGGATGATACCGGGGAACGGGAACAGCTTCGCGTCGTGCGCGGCGTAGCGCGCGAATGCTTCTGTGGGCTGCGGGAGGGGCAGGTTGGGCGATGCGCCGGGCGTCTGGGCGGGCGAGGCGGGGAGGTACGGCGAGAGCGCGTCTGTCCGCCAATCCCATCAGTACATCCTCCTCTCTCTCAAGAATGAAAGCAGAAAAAATACGCACCCTTGGAGTTATTGCTCATACTCCCCCTGCTCTCCCTGCTCACACTACTATCCGTATTGCCCCGCTCCCTCACACTCCCGCTCCGGCTCCTGCGCCTCACAGGCGTCCCCGTCCTGATAA